GTACAGGCCTCCCCAGTGCCAACCACTAACAAGATACGTCACACTACACCATGATTGAGCATCAGTACAGAGGGAGCCCTTTCACAATTTTAACAGATGTGTATCAAGTAGAAAGTATGCAAATATTTGCAGTCCTTTACATACATGTATCTCCAATAGAGGGAGAGTTTAATTTTTAAGTGTTGTGCTAGTTGATATTCCTGTGCTACAGTGATGTATCATGCCCTCCACCAAGTGAAAGACAACACACTCCCATAATGGAAGTTTCCTTTAAACATACAATTTCTTGGCCCTGAACACCTGCTATGCACTCCACTGCCACCTCTGCTGGAGCTGAGCGAAGACATGCTTATTTCTGGGTGTCAAACAGCTATTCTCATGTCATTCCATAGTTCTAAATGAATCCTGTGTGTGTAGCAGTTCTGTGTGCCTGGGCACGTTCCTCCCAGGAGAATGGAGCACACTGAGATTGACGCAGCTCACCGGGAAAACACTGATACCAGACTACGGAAAATGCATGAGAGGGAGGTGTGTTATTGCATGATTAGATGTTTCTACTCTCCATGTCGACGTGTACTTTTGTTAAATGAACTCACACGAGGTGGTGTTGTGGGGCTTTAATGATGAACGGTTGTAAACGGAAGATTACTTTTCACAGCATTGCCTTAAATGGCAATGTGGCCAGCAGGTACCTCTGGCTGTGCTCAACGAACACATCGCATCACATAATCGACTCTAAATCAGTTTTCATATGCCTGCAGTATTATTACGATAAAGCTGGTCATATTTGGTATTGTACAAAACCTGCCTAAAAGTTGTTGACGAGGGCTAAACTGAATGACACGTTAAGTGCCCATCAAAGTGCTACAGTCAAACGCAACAGATGTGTAAATGGATTAAAAAGAAAAAACCTCTTTGGAAATGTCCCGCTAACTGTAACGACTTCACATAATTTAAATTATGGATTCGGCATACACTTACTGAGATCACACTAAAACAAGAAAACGACTCCGAATGCCGAAAAGGTGATTATCATTTTTTTTTTCAAGTAAAACCCTTTCCAACAACTTCAGGCAAGAAAGCTGAACCGCTGCTATATGCTATTCTTATTATGCAAGACAACATCACCTGCATTTTGCCTCTTTGAACACTCCCTAATAAACTGACTTCGTAGTTGGTGTACCACTATAACCATATGGCATTTGAATAAAATAGGCAATGTTTCTTTATTTTCCAAAACATCCTCGTGATTGCATACAAAAATGATTCCGGATCGCCATGCCTGTTCATTGGCTACGTTTGAAATACAAATACCTGCCAGAACACGACTGGTAATCATGTTACAGAACACTAGAATGCTATGCTTCATATCCGTGCAACTTACTTGGGTAGAAGGGTTCATCTCTATAACTGCGTTTAGGCTAGGCACGAATCGCTGCTGATGAAGTTATAATAATTTGGGAATTAAAGAGGATGTTACCCTTGTGAACAACGCCTACATTAACATTTCAGACACAAACACTCAAAAGAACCACCTTCCTCCTACACAACACAGAAATGTCGTCAGTATTTGGTTGGAACAACATTCATTAAACTGCCCTCTGGTGCCAACTAAATGAAACAGCAGCCTCAGATTACATTACAGGTCCACATGACATTTAAGGGACGTCCTGAGGGCGGGGAATAGTTACATCGATGCAACGCCATAACATTGTTTTTATCTGTTGTCCGATGTGGTTTTCATGTTATTGTTTTGATTGGCTCGATGGTTACCTTAAAAATTCAAGCCACACAATATGGGAAATACTGTTTTCAATAAAATCTGGTAAAAATGCGTTGAACAATCGAGAGAAAAGATGTTTATAGTTGGGAGACTGTATAAATATTTTGAATCCTTAAGCCCTGAATAAAATAAAGCCAAATATGACTGTCAAATCAAATATACATTAACTGTTTTAAGTTATAAAGAACATTGTTAACACTCTCGCAAAGGATCTTCATGATACCTAGTAAGTGTCAAGTTTTCTTCAGAATTCATTAATTTTCCAAAGTGGGTAAGTAATGTGCAGCCATAACCTGCCATGCCCATATAAATTCAGAAGGATTAGGAAATCCATGGTAAAGCAGGTAAATTTGCGCATACTTGCGCATACATACTAGTGTCCCAAAATGCTGAAGGGAACCTTCTAGCAGGTTTTGTTTATTACCTTTAGCAATTAGGTGGGTATCATCAAAAGCATACCTAGATGTACTGCTATTTGTGAATGCTGGATCAACAAGTGATGACCATCTAGCATCCACTATGGACATGAGCAGCAGTCTGATCAGAGACATGAATTGGATTCTGGTTTGTATGTACGTGGCCAGTGGCTCTTTTTTAATTGTATTCTTTATCTTATATGAAATGTAAATTATGGATTATCTATAAAGTCATGTTTGAATATGTTCAGACTCTTAATACAGTCATACTGACGACATCACTATTTTTAGGGTCAGTAATTCATGAAATTTTGTAGACTGTCATTCTTCTTAAAAATTGAAAATAATGAAAGTATGTTTTGATAGAGTAGAAGGGTCCTGGACCTAATCCAGCTGATTGACTGACTGACTGAACCTGTCAATGATAAAAATAATTATATTCTGTTTGACAGTTGATGGGTTACATTCAGCACAGAAGTATTAATAATGAAACATAAATGATATTGAAAATAGTGAAGTTAGTACTTCATTTGTTCCCACAAACCACTGAGGTTATTTACTTCTCTAGGGAGTATTTTATATTGAATAAATATATTTATCATTAAGTATTTTCTTTGTATTAAAGTGTTTGAAACAATCTGCCTTTAACCAGAATTCATGTCCAATATGATGCTTCTGTTGTTTTTATTTGTTTTGAGATACTTTCCTTTCTTTGAATACCAATAAGACAAAGTTATCACAAGTAATGTACATATACATGTGCTATATGTGATACATGTACAAGTAAATAGTATGCTGGCCAAAATATATCAAACTAATCATTTCAGTTTGCACTGTTGCCTGCTTCTACTGTGAGTAATTTAATCTCCTAACAACTGATGATATATGAAAAGTAGTACTAGACACAATATGCCTCGAATATAGCTTTTGATGAGGCAAGTTGGGCGCACTTGTGCCAAGGTCAGAACAGAATATGAATACTTAAATCTACATACATTGTGGAGACTAACAATATCAGGGAATGTCTTTGTCTCCCTCTTCTGGTGAACTAAACAACTATGACAAATATGTTTAAAACCTTTCTGTCATGTACTGTGAAAAAACTTCTTAACTGGTTACGGCAACACAAAAACACCTTATTATATTTAGTCAATACCATTTTAACTTAGGTCATACGTTGTCAATTATTAGCTGTGCTTTTGACCAGGCTTCCCAATGAGAACATAAAAATAATTTGAGCGCATTTCAGTCACGGTAGTTTTGATTGGATGTGGTGAACACGACCGTATTGACCATAGAGGGCGAATCTTTAATCGTCCAATCACGGCGTTTGTTACTAGTTAGCTAGGCCCAGTTCATTTTGGAATGGAGAAGGTGACATTTGTGTCACCAGCTTCAGTTTTACCGTGTTTATAAAAAAAAACATTTCTTTCAGGGAAGGGAAGCTGAATCGAGCAACATGTCTTCTCTCGGAAGAGCAGTGGGTGTGCTCCGAGTCGGTTCTCAGATTTTAAGACGGGGCACACAGAAAATGGTCGTGAGAAAGTAAGTAGCTTTAGGCTAATGTGAATGTTTGCTACTCGGTACATAGCTAAATGGCTAACCACATTAGCTACGTAACAAGTATGCCTTTAGGTAGATAAATTATTATTGCTAACTTGTCATTCAGGCTTTCCTATTGCTAATTTGCCGTCAGGAGGACACACGTAAGCAAGGAAAATTGTAACAGCTAGCTTGCTACCTCTGTCAGCGAACTAGAGTTGGCATATTGGCTACTAGCTATAGTCAACGCAGCGGGGGAATTTTATTAACTAAGCTTATATTTAAACGTTATTAGATTCGTGTTGGTTCATATGTTTTCACATTTTGAAAATGGAAACACTTGGAAACGTTTATGTTTGCTTTCTTGTGACCTAATGATGCGGAAACGCATGTTTTGCTCCATATTTTTTAATCAAGAAGGTACCTTTATTATGACCAACTCAGGGGCTCTCCAGGGCTGTTCGTGTTCGCCCCTGCTCTTTATACACTACATGCATATATGGAATGTTAAATCGAGTTGAAGAGATAGTGATGAGGAGAATGTACATTCACTAAGCAAAACTTTTGCCTTTTTTTGATGAGTATGTGAAGTTGTGTATGAAGATGTGTATTTTGTCTGCTTCAAATGTTGAAGCAAAACCTCTTGCCTTGATGTTAATTGCTAGCTTGCAGTCCTATTATTGTACAATTTTGTGGCGCTACTTAACTATAGGTATAGGGCACTTTATTACATTCTGTTGTTATCACTGTATTATTTGTTGCCTCGCATTTATTATGTTATTATTACGCACTGTGCCATAGAATGAATATTATGAACATTGGGTATGATAATCCATCAACATTTCTTTGGTCAATTAATTTGACAAAAAAAGTAGTTATGTCCGTCAGTGGAAGGTGTAAGTGCTGGTTTTTGTTAAGTTCAGCCATTCATTGGTTGTTTTTGCAGAGCCGGTGGTGGACCTCACATCGAGGCCCAGTACAGACAGTATCCACAGCTCACCAAGAACCAGAAGTTCCATGCAGAGCTTATCAGTGGTGCCATGTGGTTCTGGATCCTGTGGCACTGCTGGCATGACCCTGATGCAGTCTTTGTGAGTTCAGTTTAGAAATTGTGAAAATTCGTCCCTTATCTGTGCTGTACTTGGGCCTGGATTACACACACACACACACACACACACACACACACACACACACACACACACACACACACACACACACACACACACCAGTTTTTCATGAGAAGTATTTCCTTGTGGCGCGCCCCGGTGGGTCAGCTGGTAGAGCGCACGCCTCGCAAGGCCTCGGCCTTGCCGCAGCAGCCCAGGTTCGAGTCCTGCCTGGGCCCTTTGCTGCATGTCCTCTCCCCTCTCTCTCCTGCATTTCCTGTCTGCCTCTCTACTGTGACTGTCAAATAAAGTGGAAAAATCCCAAAAAAATATCTTAAAAAAAAAAAAAAAAAAGTATTTCCTTGTGAGGGCATGTGCAGTTTCCTTAAAAGAATATAAGATCATTTTTATTTTCTATCTGTAAAAGAACAAAGTATGTCAAGTTCTCTGTAGCATGCCTCTGTCCTTTGAATTATGTCATTACAGTAGGAATTTGCGAACTGTTGCGGCAGTAATTCTAATACCACTCGAACAGACAAGGATAAATTAGAATTGAAAATTTTGGTGGCTATAAAGCAGCACAGGTTTAAGTTTTAACAGTGAAAACCCAGCCGCAGTAAGTGCTACCACCATAATGTGCCAGACTTTAATACCATGTGAGCTGTGAACTGGCTAGACAGATCTATAGCCACAGAATGACTGGTGACTCTTATTTTCGTGTGGTTCAGGGTCACTTCCCCTGGCCTGATGCCTCTAGTTGGACAGATGAGGAACTGGGAATCCCACCAGATGATGAAGAATGAAGGGCTGGACCACGCTTCATGTGCATGTCCTCCAGGTAAACACACTCCACATGAACCTGAGTATTTTTCATGCCCCATTTTTCCATCTGAATGCAGCTGAACTGTGTAACCTCCCACAAAAACTATCTCCTGCCAACTCAGGAGGGGGCAGCTGTGACACATGAGCCCTTTCGATTCCCCCCACCCAAACTGTCAAAGCACCTCCAGTTACATACTGCTTGTGTTGCTGTGGGATGACAAAGGTAACATATACTTGGTCCATCCAACAGCCGGTGCCACTAGCTGGTGAAACTGGCAAATCTGACTAAAACAGCTTCAGTTACAGTACAACTTCATCTCAGAACGTAAGGTTCGGGGCAGGCATGGCAGGGCAGGGCAGGGCAGGTACTCAGGGGCAGTATAACAGCCCCAAGAACTGGATTCTCTATTTGCTAGTTCTGAAAATGGGCCTTTAAGTGATTGGATGAGCTTTACCTCTATTGCTCAGAGTCCTGTTTTATGAAACCGTTTGATTGACCATAGGTCAGGCAGATCTCAATTAAAAATTCTCACTGTGGTGTCACTCAATGTTGACATTTTCCTGTCGCGTCATACAAAAAGGGACAGTTGGGCCCTGTGTAAAAACAAAATGCAGACATTGAATGCATGCATGAATCATTGAATTAATTGCATGCAACATTGTGGGTATTAATAAGTATAAAAAACTCTTTTCCTTTGTCTTCAGATTTTCTCTGTGCTGAAGGGTACTGGACCATGTCGACTTGGATTTGCTGAAATTCTTTAGTGTTGTACAAAGAAAAATAAATATAACTTCTCTCCTGTACCTTGCCTTCAAGTGTGATGAAATTTGCTAACAGCAGGAATTTAAAGAGCACAACAGTTTGATTGCTTTGCATTATTTTATTTTGGAAATTTATTTTTAAAATTTATTTAAACAAAGTCAATTTCAAATGATTTTTGATTCCTCGGCAAAGGCCAGTGAAACAACACAACCAGAAACGAATTGACTAAGAAATCTTATTTTAATATTTACAAGCCCATTCTGAAATGCAGAAATGAATATTCAAAGATGCATTGCAATGGTTAACAAAGTTCTATGCCTTTTGTTTTCTTAAAATCAAGTGTGAAAAATAACATTTTAAACATCCAAATGACTGAAGGAATCAAAGTAAGGGAAAAGTACACACCATGACCATCAATACTTCCATTCACAATGATCAAAAACAAATGCCAAAGCCAAATAAATACTGTACAATTAACAGTACTGCATATAACACATCCCGCCTGCAGGCCAGTTATCATGATTACCAAAAGGTGTATGACCAGCAAACGCGTGAAAAATGAAACTTAGTGTCATGAGACAATCCGGTTTAATAGAAGACAACAATCAGACAATGTATGTTTCACTTTCCAATGTAGCTGCTTTTTGTAAGATAAAATAATACTCAGGTTAAGCGTCTTTGAATCAGCTAGGGTTGTATTAGTGAAGCAAAACTGCCCTTAGCGCTAGAACCAAGTTCTCTGTGAGGGCTGGTTAATAGGCCAAACAAATAGCACCTTGTACTAATGAGAGCTTTATACAGGTCATGCGAACAGGCTGTAAGTCAGGCTTTGAACTGGGCTTTTTTTTTTTTTTTTTTTTTTTTTAGTCTGGTATTGTTCAATGGTTAAACGCTACCTGACAAGCTTAAGCCTGAATGAAGTTAGTGCAATATGTCTTGGCAGGCAGCAGATTCATGAATCCATGTTAGCATTAAGTAGTTCTCCTGACATCATTGGAGGCCCTTTTCTTAAGCTTGCCCCATGTTCATTGTGCAGAAACTCAAATTTATACAACAAACACGTATAACTGGAAAAATAACAGGTTTGCGTTCAGTACAATTACACATATGCAGTGGCACAAAAATGTCAATCTCAACAGTCGCCAAAAGGATGGATTTGGAACAGTCAGCACCAAGCACTTTATCCTCCTAACACATTCATGTTGGAACTGAAATTGAAATGGGTAGAATCCTACACAGTGCTGCAAAACATGATCAACAGCAATGTGTGCCATTTCATTGTAAGTAGTATGTCTGGGAAGATTTTGGATTTCCTTGGAGTTCATGCACACAGAACGCTGTTGCAGTGGAGGAAGACTACCTCAGGTTAAGCAGAGTTTCTGGTATATTATGTGGACCGAGACATGAAACGAAAATGAACAGTAAAAACCCACATGTGATGCAAGCACAGAGAATGTTACGAGTTAAAGGTTACTGGGGTTTGTACACAGATATCTGAAAGTATTTAATGGCTCATTGCTTGCTGCTGGTGATGAATTCAGAGGTCTCTTGACAGTGGAATCTGTCCCTGAGAAAGACTACCCTTCCATACTAACTCTCACTGACCAAAGCACTGGATCTTGGAAAAGCCAATTATGGCAAATAAAATGGGGACCAAATCAAATATTCTGACATAGAAATTCCAATTCTGAAAAATGGATACCTGAGGGCTCAAAAGCTTGTATAAAACTAGGAGAGGGAGGGGTAAACATCTGAGGAGACAGTATTGGACTCCCATTGCATGACAAAATTGGCATTGTGGGTCAGAAATAGATACTTTTTAGGTTGTAGTTCATTGATTGGAAGGAAACTGATACACAATATTGTTAACAGCGGAGTTCCATCTTTTGAAATACCTAAATCAGTAGCCACAATTATACTTGTAAGAGCACTCAATGTTAGTTCCTCTATGCAACGCTCTCTCTCTCTCTCTGGAACATAAAAACCTCAAACTATATTTTGTTTTTTTTTTCCTACCTGCAAGAAGTGTAGAATTATGGTCAACATATTTGCGGTACACAACCCATACTGCCAAGAAAGTAATTACGACACAGCCAGATGACAGGTGTTCAAACTATACAAAACAGACATGACAAATATGTTTAAAAAGCTGATGACAGGCCCATAAGGAAAGCAAGATTGTTGGTAATTCACAATCAGAATTGTGTTAATGCACATAATACACCCAACAGTAAGTTTTAGTAGCTGAAACTAGAAAAAGCACGCTGTTATCTGCAATGCCACTCAACAGGTATCGCTGTTCAACTGATCATAATCACGTGAAGTTAGGCCATGCTTTCAACAGGGCGTTTATATGAGAACTGAGGATAAAATGACCCCTTTTCTACTGCTATCCCTAAATATGGAGGCTTCACATTGAAACAGAATACAATTCACCTTATTTTAATAATAAATACATCCATTCAAAAGCCATCAAAAATAAACATTGAAACAAACACCAAAAGGAAAGAGGAAAATAAATTAAGCAGAAAATGATTTCTTTCTGTCATTTCTCTCTATACACTATTTAATGCTTTAACATCATTTAATGCTTTAGACAAAGTAAACCTTTTTTTTTTTTTTGCTGTTTTAGAAACATCTATTTTGACAACAGCACTCCTGATAGCTCCAGTCTTCCTCTGTTTGACAGCTAGGTGGCACCAAAGGAGCCAGTTTCATTTTATATGGTAATTTTGCCTTGTTACAAAGCAAACCTCCCTTCCACACCACTTCCATCACTTTTTTTTTGAGGGTCATTACGTGAATGTAATGTAGACTCTGATTAATGCAAAAGGACAATCTGCGATCCGTTTCATAGAGAAATAGTACAGAAACAGCACACAATTTTTAAAGCAGTGCCACAAGGATATGGCTTGGCAACATAGCTGCGTATGGCTTTTTCTTGTGACAAACAATGGATTGAGGCATTAAACCAGGAGATGCCCAGCAAAGACTTGGACATGTGGACAAATGCATGAGGCTACTGGACAGAGTATAACATGAGGTACTGTTGCAATGCCCCGAAAAGGTAATCAAGTTAAGCTGAACACAGATCACATTCCTGATATCTGCTCTCATTCATGTGTGTCCTATAAAGAAATGCTGTGGGAAGAGGGAAGACTGGAACTGCACAGGAGTGCTGCCTGGATCTCATCTCTCCATTCTGCATTATTGCTGGTGTGAATGTGATGGGTGGGGGAAGGGAGGGGATGGGGTATTACAAACTAGAGCACCATTTTTTAAATATCAGTTCATCACCTTAGCACCCTTCTTCTTCTGGACACAGAGATGTCCTAATGCAAATTCCCACACACAGAGACCAGAGATGGATGGTTACATCCTACTCAGGAAGCAGGAAGCAGCAAGCAAACCCCACATTCTATTCTTGGCTTTAGCGCGGTACGTTCAGCTTGGTGGTACAGTCGATTCATGTTGGAGGAGCATTTCTAGGCCATCCAAAAAAAAAAAAAAAAAAACTGGCAGGAAGAAAGCTTCAATCAAAACAAGATTTGTGGCGAAGATGCAAATGTTGTGGCATCAATATGAAGGGTTGGCTTGCTTTTGTTCCAGGAGGTGTTACTGCAGTTGTTCTTCCTGGTTGGAGATGCCAGGACT